GCATCTTGTACAGCAATTAACCACTAAGAAGAATATATGCAGTGTATTATTTGTTGAAACTGTCCTTCTGATATGATTTGAAACTGTCTCATTGCTATCTGTTTGTCAATAAAACTTTGAAAAAAAATAAAAAAAATAAAAAAGAATCCTACTACCTGTATCACTCACCTATATTATTCTATTCAAAGTATAACAAATTAATCTGTCCACCTAACATAATGATAAGGCTTTGATGAGAAGGGATTGTAGAATTGTTTTCTCTTGATATACTCATGTTTGAAATTAGAGTATTTAATTTTGAAATTCAGTAATTATATCTAGTAGGTAAGTGCACTTAAAATGTGCTAAGTACGTCTGGCGATCTTACTGGGCCTCAAGCATGTCTTTGAGAAGAGTCCCCTATCTCTTACCCATCATGGATTTGAGCCACATGTAGCCCCTAAATACTTTTTTTCTGGTTCTTCTACCAGTGGTCATAAAGCTCTAAGCCTTGAGACTTGTTTCTACAGCAGCTTTCTCTATAGAAATTATTCAACTTGTAACACTGGGAGAAAAAAAATTCCAATAGCCCCTACTTCATATGATGTATATAGTATCTCTAATGGTTCTCAACCAGGTAGAAGATTTTTGCCCCAGGGGACACTAGACAATCAACTTGATTGTCACAACTGGGATAGGGATAGTAGGTAGAGGCTAGAGGCAGTGCTTAATATCCTATAATGTACAGGATACCTGTCATCACAAAGAATTATCTGGCCTAAAATGTGCATAATAAAAAGAATTTTCAGTATGACAAGCAAAAATAGCTACTGGTCACTATCACCCCTGTATAACCCATACTGAGGATTGAAACCAGGCACTTCACATTAAGTTACATCACTAGCCGTTCTAAAGGCTTTTTATTACTTAAAACTTCAGCCAAATAATGCAACGACAGAATCCAGTAAACACCTTACAATGATAACTCTTAACATCAGTGGTCTTAACTCTTAAATTAAGACAGAGTAGTAGTAGATTAAAAAATCAAATGTAACATATATTGCTTACAAAAGATACCTCATACAAGAAGAAGCTCAAAGTCTAACAGTGAAAGAATGGAAAATGATGCTCCACGCAACTAGAGCCCAAGAGCAAACGGGACTACCCACCTTATATCCAGACTCAGCAAATTTCACACCAAAACTAGTCAGAAGAGAAAGACACCACATACTTGTGAAGGTACCATTTCAATGGGAAGTAATAACAGTTGTAAATATTTATGCACTGGATGTTGGTGTGACCAACCCAAGACAAAAATCACAGGACATAAAAGAATAGCTAAACAGCAAAACAGTCATAAGCAGGGAACCACCAACGCTTCACCCTCACAATGAAATCAAAGAGATAATAAATTAACAAAGAAATATCAGAGTAGGGAGCAGGGAGATGGCTCAGTGGAATAAGCGTTTCCCTGGCAAGTGCGAGGGCCTGAATTCAATCCCTGGTTCTGCCAAAAAAAAAAAGAAAAGAAAAGAGAAAGAAATATCAGAGTAAAACCATACCACTGAACAAATGGGCTTTACTATACTATAAACAAGATGAACTGTACCAAAAAAAGACAAATGAAATGTGCAGAATCATCCAAGACAAAAAAGCATGGGTTATAAGTCCATACTGACAGGGTTTGATGGTGCCACAGCAAAGAAACAGGCAGAAGGGAAAAGGGCAAGGGGCTTTACTACAAAGGGAAAGGGGCTTCATTATATCTTAGAGGACACAGAGAGAATCTGGGGAAGATGAGGAAATCTCTGAATTGGAACAAAGGGAGGCAGAGGCTTTTATGGCCTTTTGCCGGGGTGGAGTTTGAGGGGATGTTTAGATAGACCTGAGGAGCTGACTGGAGCCTTCCCTGAGGCAGTGGGAAAGGTGCAAGGCAATTGCACCCTTGGCTGAGTTAGAGAAGAAGTGGGGAGATGGTCTCTGGGAAGATAAGCTGTTATTTTAAGGGCTTCAGCCATATTGGATGACCACCATAATAATTCAGCAATTCATACTAGGGCCAGAACCTATCATATACAAGAGCTCCTAAGTCCAAATAGTCTTTTAACAGGAATATCTGTGTACATTTTTTTAATCCACAGTGCATAGAACTTTTTCCAAAGCAGACCATATATTAGGGATACTTAAATAAGTAGAAAACAATGAAAATAATCCCCTGCATACTACTGAATCACAGGATGAAACTAGAAATCAACAGCAAAAGAAACCACACAAATACATGAAGATTAAAACATGACATTAATTGATAGGTAGGTCATGGAAGAAGTTAAAGAAAACATTAAAAAAAACTTCCTAAAATCAAATAACAGTGAAAGCACAACATGCCAAAACTTGTGAACACATCACAACAGTAGAAAAATCCCAGCTAAAGAGCTCAATTATGTATCACAGAGTCTAGAAAAACAAGAGCATTCCAAATCTGAAAATAATAAAGGAAAAATGTATAAAAATCAAAGTAGAAAGTAATGAAATTGAGAAAAAAAATTACAAAAGATTACCAAGAGGAGGACTGGAAAGTGACTTGATCAATGCAGTTAGAAACAAAAACTAGGGCCAGCCAAATAGCTTGACAGAGTAAAGCACCTGCAAGCAGGCGCAGGGGCTGGGGGTTTGATCCCAGGGCTTGCCGTGCTGGCCCCACCCCCAGGGCTCACTGAGATGGTGATGGAGACTGGGCATGGTGGTGTGCGCTTGTAATCCCAGCTCTTGGGAGGCTGTAAACAGGCAGATGACTATGAGTCCAATCTAGTAGTAAGACCCTGAACAACCTGAACACCCTTCCCTAAAATACCAAAAAAAAGGGAAGGAAGGAAGGAAGGAAGGAAGGAAGGAAGGAAGGAAGGAAAGAAGGAAGGAAGGAAGGAAAACTATGAGCGCACCAGAGCACTGATACCAGGCGGAGGGACCTTCCTCTTACCATCTTCCACAGCCAGGAAAATGTTCTTTAGAGTAGGAAAATAGCTGCTCTGTTTACTTTTCAGGATCTCAGTCATCTTGAGGATAACAGGAGCTTGAAGCTAAATTAAAGGGGGAAAACTTTCAATAAATACAAACTAGACTGTTAAATATTAAATTCTGTAAGAAAATATGAATCATATCTCCTCACACATGACCTTAAAAGGAGTTAATATTCAAATACATATCTGGTTTCAAGCTGAAAGCAATTATTTTGATAGCTTGTATTTTGTATTTAGAGTTTACGTGTTATCTATGTAAACAACTAGTTATCCCACATAAAATTTTTTTATCTGTTTCAGAAGATTTCCAGGAGACATGAATGAATGTCTCAGATTTTAGAACATTAAAATAAGTAACTGAATGGCAAATGCCTCATAAAGGACTAAAGTCAGTCCTTCCAAAGCTGTATCTCCACTAAGCGAGGTCTTGTTCCTTTTCATTTACATGCACCAGACTTAACTAATCTTAACTCTCTTCAACATTTCCCCAGGGAACCAATTTTTGTACTGCCAAAAATATTTCCTATTGTCTCCAGTCCTGTCAAAATGTTCTCATGAAGGAAAAATTACTTTTCATCTCCCATTCATTTAAAAAATGCACACCATATAATATGTACAGCATTCAGAAGAACAGAACACTAACTCATACAAACATCATTTAAAACCACAGAAACCACTGCTCAGGAGACCTTAGTCTACTGCCAACCTTGCTTACTGAAATTACAATTGCCAGGGTCCTCACTCACTTACTTGATCATAAGTGCAGGACAGATTCTCTCTCCTCCTCACCCAGAAATCCAGCTCAGTTTGAGGAGTCAGGTGAAGACCATTCAGCAAAGGCTGCGCTGAGTCTCTTCCTACAACTTCTTGGATTTGGTGTGACCACTTGATAACCACAGATTCAATTTCATGGAGTAGTCTTCTCTCACTTGAGGGTAGCCTTCAAATATTAAAATGATTAAGAAAACAATCCAAAGATGATTATTTTATCCACATGAGATAAGACATGGATTTTAATATTTTATGTACATATAAACTGATTTCCTAAACATAAATTCATCACAATTCAGTGTTTGCACTTGTGAAATCACTTTACTCTGTACTTAGCATGCCTCCAGTTGTAAAACATTGTTTAGCAAAGAGCTATCATAGTCTCAAAAACTGTTTTACTAAAGGAATACTGTTGTTGAGATCATGGTTACTGTTAAAATTTCCCTTTAGAGAGTATCCGTTGAGCCAGGGATGGTGGTACATGCCTGTACTGCTCAAGCAGTTGACACAGGAGGCTCACCACGAGTTCAGTCACAGCCTGGGCTACATAGTGAGTTCAAGGCCAGCCTGGGCTACATAGTGATATCTTGTCTCAAAAATAAATAAATAAATAAATAAATAATTTGATGCATTCTATGAAAGGATGAAGGGAGGGACACGAAGTCTACAACAGCACCCTCTGGGCAAATCCTTGACCCTTCTCTACTGAGTGCACATACATGACTAACACACACATGCAAATATACCTCCTAGACAATGTGTTTACAAACTTCTCCACATGTGATTAGAAAAATTCTTAAAGCTCTTCTAGGTAAATAGTCAAAGACAAATGTAGGCAAGAGAAAATAAAAATCTTATGCTTCGCATGGAAAATATATATTGCAATGAATGAAAATTAGAATAACAATAAGGACATGTCCTAGCAACCTTTTTATGAAATAGATAGCTAGCATTATAGATATTATGTCTAGTTTACTTGGAGCACTCTATTTGTCAACATGCATGCAAAACTTAATAGGAAGACAGAAGGACAGAGATATAATTATATTGATTTTCACAAACTAACACAAAGGAATAATTCAAAGGAAGTAAACATAGTAAAGATAATAATTAAATGTTAAGTGTGATGGAAAAATTAAGAACATATGAAAATTAATACCACAAAATTAGGCTTTATAAGATAAAATTAAGAAGTTACTTTGACTAAGTTGAAAAAATTTGATGCTGCTATGATTTTTTTACTGATAGCTTGCTAAGACTGTAGTACTACACAGACAGGCTGGCCTTCTATTTTCATGCATCATGTACACCAGTCACACCATTACCTACTTGGTATGGGAGTAATTCTGATCCAGGTCAATATTTTCTGCAATAGTCGGAATTGGAAGAAGTGTTCTTTTAGACATTTTGCCCCTAAAAATATGCATCTTATTTTTCATAACTTCTGTGTGACGTTCCATATCTTGTGAAGTAAAATATGACCAAGACGTATGGTTGTTCTTATTAGAAAGAACTGGCACTAGTATCTAAAGAAAAATGTTTTTCAAATTAGTTAATTTGCAATGTGCTCCTTCAAAGACTGTCTTGCTGTATGTAATTGGCAAAAAACCCCACTCAATTTCATAAAGATCCCATGATACCAAGTCTACAAAGGCATAGTCAGTAACCCCTTTAGACTTAATCAATTAGATATAAGTTCTTTCAGAGTGGAAGTCCAATACCTCCTGTTCATTCATTCATTTATCCATTTACTAAGCTCTTGTGGAGGCTCTCGGTAACTTGGACACTGCATGAAACAAGCCAAGTCATACTTAGTAAACAAGCTGCTTTCTTAATTGCAAACTAAGGATGCTTGGAGGCATATTTAAAAAGTGCTCAGGAATTACATGGGCTAGGAGTAAATCTCACAAAGCCCTGAGATTACAAGGATTACAGTTTGAATGGTTAGCAAGAAGTTTATTCTATTCAACAATGTGAGCTTATTCAGAGCTCTCTTTTGCTAAATAAAGGAACATCAGTGAAACTACGCACCTATGTGAAAACTCTTAAAATGCTTATTTTGCATTTCCAAAGGCTAGCATATATCACATAAGGGCATGCTGAGTTCCTGCAGTTGTCACCTTTTGCTTCCCTATACCCTTCCAATATCCTTTTTTTTTTTTTTTGCGGAACAAGGGGACTGAACTCAGGCCCTTGCACTTATTCTACTGAGCTATCTCCCCCAATATCCATTTAAAAGATTTCTCATTTTTCTGATAGAATCTCTCTAGTAACATCTAGTAACAGCACACCCAGCTACAAACTCATTGGGGATCCACCTGCAATGCCCCTACAATCCTGTCAACTTCCAAAGCCCCACCTCTGAACACATATAACTTTGGAAGGATACTTTGGATCTAAACTATAAAAATAATTTTAAAAGCCTTGATAGTGGCTAGAGGAATGCTGATGCTAAGACAATGCCAAAGATGAGAAAAATAATGTAGTATTTCCAACAATCAGTCCCTAAAGTGATAAAAGTAAGCCAGTGTGGACGCAATTCCATATTTGTAAAAATACATATTTGCATATTGCAGTGAAATTTGCAAAAAGTATATATAAACCAAATATTTACTATCACATATCATTTTCTAATATGTTATCAATTATGCTGTTTTTCCTGCCAATCTTGCTGGTACCTCTTCTGGGTTTACTGGCTCAAAAGTACAAATGCACATCCACTTTTTATTTGGTAAATAGCCTAACAGGTGACAGGTCCTATGTTTTTTTTTTTTTTTTTTTTTTTTGATGCCAGGGATCAAACTCAAGACCTTATGCTCACCAGGCAGGTGCTTATGCTGTTGAGCTCTCTCCAGCCTCTGGACCTATCCCTTTTGCAAAATAAATTAAATGTGTACTGTTAAAAATTACTTTTCTTGACTATTCAGCTGGTGTGAGCCATTTTTCTATTGTATAATTCTTGCAAATGTCTTTTTTTTTTTTAATTTATTTATTTAGTGTGTGTGTGTGTGTGTGTGTGTGTGTGGCCAGCTCAGCCCACCAGGGGGCGGGGCTGGTTGGCATGTGGTGCTGGGGGATT